TGAAGAAGCCACCTATGGGGAAATTCCAAAAAGCACAGGCAAAACAACCACCACAACGACAACAACAACAAACAGCTTCAACCAAAGCCTGCTCTCTCTAGCATAAGGATCAGAAAAGGGCTAGCCTAGCAAGACAGAAAACGTTTTGACAATAACTTCTCTACTCCAGCCAGACACCAAAGAAGACACTATGGCCCTGTCCCCACTCAAACCAGCAAAGGTTTAGTGGGGAGCCTAGGATTCCACATTCAATTGGCAGAAATGGGGGCCACCCTGCCCCGCCCATGTCAGTGGACATCAATCCCGTGGAGATTCTGGAATTATACCTCCACCAGGCAGTAAGGAGGCAACCTTCCCTGTCGCTGGGATGATCTCAGGACTTTCACCACCACCCAGTGGTAAGGAGGCTACTCAATCCGTGGGCTAAAGAGAAAGTTTTCCAGTACATCAAGAAATGAATTGAACTGAATGGAAATGATTATAAAACCTATCAAAATCAGTGGGGTGAAGCTAAAGCATTGCTGAAAGGGAAATTTACACCATCAAGGACTTACATTAAGTAAAGGGAAAAGTATCACATCAATAATGTAAGTTCTCATCCCAGGAAACTAGAAGAAGGAGAGCAAAATAAACCCAAAGCAAGCAGAAGGAAGGGGATACTAAAGGTAAGCCCCCTAATCAGTGAAATCGAAAACAGGAAAGCAACAGAGAAAATCAATAAAACAAAAATCTGGTTCTTTGAAAAGATCCGTAAAACTTAGAAGCCTCCAACAAGACTGGCAAAATAAACCTACAATGATTCACCGCCTTTGCACGTATTTACTGAGTGACTTTAATAGCTATATTTGTGATACTTTTCATATAGTCTACTTTAGAAACCTAAGTACCTATGTTCTCAATATGTATCGTACAGTGGAAAGAAGAAGAAGAGAAACATCGGACCCTTGATGTAAAATGACAATGAAATTTCACTTCCGACATAACAGCTAGATTGCTGTCCTTCATGACAGAAGCTATTTTTTATCATATTTTTTGTAATTAGCTCAAATTCTTTCCTAAGTGATAGAAATGATTCCACAATATTGGTGCCACCAGTTCGATTCTGTAGGCCACAATCATGTCTTTGCAAATTGGAAAGTCCTCGGAGACAAAATGTACCTAAAGTATTAATTGGCCAGGGTCTCATGTCTCATGGCTCGTGTAATGGGAAAAATAATATATTTGAAATTTTTCAGATTTCGAATCAATTACTCCTTCATATTGTTGGAAAGGTCTTGTGTAATATGGACTTAGTTGAAGATCTCCTGCTTTTTGTAAAACATTATATACAGTTTCACAATTCTCTAACGTACGTTCTGTAACTGAAATAACGGTGTCTTATTATTACGTTTTTTTACCACGAGTCCATCTATAATCTTTGTGTGTGTGTGTGTGTGTGAGAGAGAGAGAGAGAGAGAGTGTGTGCACACAAGATCCAAGGCATTTTATAGCTGGCCAAAATTATAACCTCAGGTCCTCTTAACAATTGCCAAAACTGTTTTTTGTTGTTGTTGAACAGTTAAGCCTAATGTCGGGCAACAGATTTTGTCATTCTGTTTGCTCTGTTAGAGGAGATTCCTATCAAATTCATCCTATGGTTGCTTACATTTCTCTTAATACTGTCCACTTTGTTCTGTTTGTGTTTCTTTGAACACAACAAATAAACAGCTTTTCATCTTTCTCTGCTGCTGCAAACAGCAGCAGCAGCAAGAAGGTGAGGGGCAGAGGGCTGGAATGCTCGTCTTTATGGCAAAATGCCTGCCCATAAAAGTAGGAAAGAAGGATAAAAGTAGAAAACCACCGTTTCTCAACCACCAAAGTAATAATCAAATCAGACAAGAACCCTGAACGAAAACTAAGGCCAAGGAGTGAAATTTTTTTGGAGGACAGAATACCCACATGATATCAAAATATCACCCCACAGACTGCTTATAAGTCACAGGGGGACAAAGGCAGCTTTACAGTGGAGTGATCTGTCCAACAGATCACTTTAAATAAGTGGCCGACTGAGTAATGCCAATAGCAGCGCCGACAGCTAGACAAACTGACCTTAGGATCCTCCAGATGTGGTGTAACGTGAACTACTCATCACCTATTTGACATTCTTGCCAAAACTGTTAAACGTAAATCGGAACAAGAGGACAATATCAGGCAAACCCATATTGTGGACGCTTTACAAGCAAACAGGCCTAGGCTCTTGGAAAAGCTCATCGTCATGGAAGATTTAGGATGAGGGACTGTTTGGGACTAGAGGATAATAAAGAGACATGACAACAAAATGCAATGTATGATACTTGATTGCATTGTTCATCCCCAAAAGGATATTATTGGGACAATTAGGGAAATATGAATACGGACTGTCTATGGACTTAGGTGATAACATGCCACTGTTAAATTTCTCCAACGTGATAACAGTATTGTGGTTAGATCGCAGAATATCCTAGTTCTTAGGAGATACATTCTGAAGTAATCGGATGAAGTATTTGGAACTGTTAAGTGGGAAGCGAAAAGGAAAAGGAGAGATAAAGCAATGGGATACCGCGAATCTAGGTAACAGAATGTGCACTCTTCGGTTTTGTGCGTTTTCAAAATAAAAGGTTGAGGGAAACAGGTTGCTCATATTTTAGAGTTGTGCACTGAAATATTTACCAATAAAATAAGATGATTTCTGGTATTTTCTTGAAAATAATCTGGAAGAGGGAAAAGGGAGAAGACATATATGAAATGAGCTTGGCCACGAGTTGTTAATGGTTGCGGTTGGGGGATGGATAATTGGCGGTTCCTTCACTATTCTCCATTGTACAGTGGTTCTCAAAGTGTGGTCCCCCACCAGCAGCATCTGCATCACCGGGGGAATTGTCATAAAAGCGAACTCTAGGTCCCACTCTGGATTTTTAAATCCGAGACTATAGATGTGGAGCTCAGCAATCTGTGTTTCAACAAGCCCTTCGGGTGATTCTGATGCAAGCTAACGTTCCAGGACCACTGCCCTACTGTAACGAACCTGGAGATTGTAAGTTTGTATACAAAATCTAATTTGTATATGTTTTTAAATTATCCACAGTGCAATCTGTTGTTGAAAATAAAGAAAGCAGGCATCCCAGCTGTTTAGCGGCCAAGTTTTAATAGAGTCTCAAGACAGATAATCCTAATCTTATACAAACACTTCCAGAGGATAGAAAAGAGGGACTACCCCCCAACTCTGTCTATAAGCCCAGAAAACCTTGACCCTGGAACCAGCAAAGATAGTATGATAAAGAGAAACGCCAAGTCAATCTCGCTCATGAAGAGAAGACACAAAAATCCTAGGCAAAACTTTGGCAACCTGAACCCACCGGGATACACAAAAGATGATACACCATAACTAAGTTACATTTATCCTAGGAGAGCAAAGCTGGGTTCACATTAGAAAAACCATAGATGGAAGGGGGCATGAGAGAGGTCTGTGTGTTGCTGATACGTTCTGTTGCTTGCTCTAGGTGCTAACTGAATGTGTATGCTTAGTTTTTGAAAACTCATTAAGATACACACATGGTGTTTGTCTTTTTTTTGATTATAAGATAAACTTCACCGAAGATTTTTTAAAAAATCTTTAAGTAACACTCACTGTATTTTAACGGATTAAATGAATAGAGCCTTGATCATTTCAATAGAGGCAAAAAAGTAGAATTCAATATCTATGCATGATTTTTAAGACAAATTAAACTAGGAATATAAGGGAAGTTCCTTGATCTGACGAAGGCAAAGAAAGGAAAAAAGAGGGAGAAAGGAAGAAAGAAGAGACAAAGAAAGAGAAAGAAAGAAGGAAGGAAAGAAAACAATGAAACACAGCAAACCCATTTTAATATGGAAGTGTTGGCAGCATTCTCTTTGATGTTGGGAACAACCCAAAGGTGCCTAATTTTGCCATCGCCATTCGACTTGGTAGTGGACGTCCTAGCCAGCACAGCAAGAAACCTGTAAGTTGATTTTTGCACTCCTGTTACTCACAGATTCACAGAAAGCTGCAGAATGCCGATAGACAAATTATTAGACAGCACAGAGTTTAGCATGGTGGCTGACTCTAAGATCAATATACTTTTTAAAAAGTCGAGTGGATTTCCATAAATTAGATACAAATAGAAAATGTCTCTTTTGAACAGATACGAAGTATAAGAGCAACAACACTCTAGAGTATCTTCAGATAGATACAATAAAAGATGTACAAGATCTGAGTGTACAAAAGGTAGAACTAAATACTAAACTTAAAGATGAAAACGTTAAAGGAGACCCACATAAATGGAGGGGCATCCCATGTTGGTGACCAGGAAGGCTGGATAGCCTAAAGATAGTAAACTCGCCCCTAACTGATCCATAGATTCCACGAAAAGGCAATCCAAATCTATTGCAAATGAGTTTTCAGGGAGCATGACATGCTGATCCTAACCTTTATAGGGAAGGGCAAAAGGCAAAGAACAGCCAAGATATGCCTGGAGATGATGAATAAGATGTAGGGACTTTCCCTGCCAGAGATCAAGGTGTCTCATCAAGAGATAAAAATTAAGCCAGTGTAGTATTGGCGCAGGAATAGACAAATTTATCTGTGGTACAGAACAGGGAGCTCAGAGACAAATACGGACCAAAATGACTCCAAACACTGCCAAATGTTCCCAGCGGGTGCAAAATCGCCCCCGATTGAGAATCCCTGACACAGGAATATGGATCAACACACGCTGAATTTTGCAAAAGTAAATCACAGATTACCGAGGACATGAGTGAAAAATGCATGCACATACAATATTTCACAGCCAAAGAGCGAACAGTCTGGGAAACAAGGCTTGCGGAGCACAGCGCTGCACTCCGCTTCACGACTTCCTGGCTGGCCTAGTAAAGCGAGCATGCGGAGAAGCGGGAGGGAAGCGAGGGGGCGGGACTTTGTCGGGTGAGCCTCGGTGGAACTCGAAGCTCATTGGTCGCCCGCCACAGCGGTGAGAAGCCGCAGGCCGGAAGCTCATTGGCCTTTGTGGAAAGGGCGGGAAAGGGAGCGAGCACTGGGTCTTCCCTCAGGCCTCTGGTGCGGAGCCCACTGATTCCGACCTGCCGAAGGCTGAGGTAACCACAGGCTGGCATCAGAAATATGACCCTCGTTCTCCACGCCCCTTCTTTTCTCCTTTCCTCCTCTCTGGATCCCCAGCCCTTTTTCCTGTCCTCCACCTCAGTGGGGAACCTCCGCCCCCTCCCGCTCCCGCTATCCCGCTCCGCCCCTTCCCCGTCCTGGGTGGAACCGCCATGGTGGAACCGCCGTAGGAGGACGCCTTGCCCCAGCCCCCTGACCCCTGGCTTCTGGCTCCTGGGGCAGGGCTCATGCCCCTGCGTTTGATTCTGAGGTGGGGGCAGCAGCGAATGACTGGGCTGCCTGAGAAGAGGTGGTGCAGTCCAGGTGTGGGAGTGGGAGAAGGTGTGCTCAAGTATAATTGTTGAAGCCTGGAGAGGAGTGTGGATGATTGTTGGGAGGCTGTGGAGAGAATGCGTGGGTTCGCATAAAAGCAGCAAGGGTGTGTTGGTCCAGGAAAACAATTAGCGCAACGCAGAGTCGGCTGTTGACTAGATCAGAGTCTGGCATTCGATAGGGGGCTCAACAAACATCTATTCAGTGAATAATCGAGGAGATGAATGAAAATAATTATCGAAAGAGGGGCTTGGAACCCAGCAGAATAATATGATTTCATGGGGTGTAAAGGGATGTCAGGTTAAAGAGGGCGCAAAGGAATAATTAACGTTATGGTAGGGTGCAAGAAAAGAATCAGAATGGAGTGTGAGAGGAAAACTGAATGGAGGGCATACATGAGACTAATAACAGAACTGAGTGCAGCGGGCATAGAATCATGAGTAGGGAGTGAATGAATGTAGGATGTTAGGAAGACAGTTGTGGAAGTGGGTGCCGGGAATGATAGTCGGGAATAGCAGAGTATGGGATGATACATGAGAAGGGGGAGTGGTAATTGTTGAAGGGGGCACGAGAGTGCAAGTGTATGCCTGAAAAGGGGGTCTATGTGGAGTGAAGGTAAGCAAGGAGACTAATAATTGGGTTGAAAACAGACAGGACCCATGCCAAGAGTTTCTCGGAATGAGGCTATGTGTGAGTGGGGCTTCCTAGGAATGACACTACCCCTACATAAGCTTATGTAGCTCGTGAGGCTACATAAGCAAGAAGGGAGGTGCAATCTGATTTCAGTGGCGAGCTGGATGGAGAAGAATCCAGCCGCCTCAGGTGAGGTTTTCCAAGGGCAGAGGAAGTACCTACGTTGGGGGTAGGGGATCATGTGGCCGTCCTGACCTCTGCTCCTGGCCCTAGAACCATGGATCCCAATGAAATGCCTGCTGTGCACTGCTGCCCCTCTGACTCCACCAAAGGGCTTGGGACTGGATTCCCATGGGGGATTAAAATTGTTCCCAGAAGAGCTATAATTCTCTGTGCCCGCTGCCACAACCATGGCATCACTGACCAAATCAAGGACCATGAGCACTGCTGCCTCTTCCAGACCTGCAAGTGTCACAAGTGTGTCCGCTTCTCGTGAGTATGGTGTCTGATAAGGGAGGGGAGAGAGGGCCGGGCCTTCTCTAAATGTGACCGACTTTAGACCTGCAATCCCCCACTTTAGGCAACACTGCACGGTCTCGCCTGCTGAGAGTGCCTTGAAGAGGGAGCAGAGGGTACACCTAAAGAGGCACCTGGCTCAAGGACTGATAAGGAGTGGGGCCGCCCCTCCCAAAGCTCACCGCCGTGTCGAGAAGTTGGCCATCCAAGGAGGAGTCCCCAGTGAGTGTCTCGGGCCAGAGAGAGAGCCTGGGTTTGGGTGTAGGGAGCATGAGTAGTTCTGTCACCAGTTCTATCACCCAATCTCGATGTGGCCTTGGGCAAGTTACTCTTTGGGCCTTTGCGTCCCCAACTATACAATGCCATCAAGATTACCCACCAAGTATTGGTGGGGAGGAGAGATCTGGGGGCTCAGAGAGGTCCACGGTGAGATGAGGCTGCACATTGGGGGTGAGGCTGAGTGGAGTGGGGTCAGGAGGAAAGGCTCACCTAAGCTGTCCCCAGTCTCTCACAGCTGGGAAAGAGAACATCATGCCTCAGCTTGAGGCCCACCCCTGTGCAACCTTCGAGGAGGTAAGGAGAGTCTGGGGCCAGTGGGAGAGGCTCCCACCTCAGCCGCTGCCCAGACCCCTTCCTCTGTGTCCTGAAGACCTGGGTTCCATCTCTAACCCTGGTGCAACTTGCCATGTGACCCTGGGGAACAAATGCTTCACCTCTCTGTGCCTCCATTTCCCCAGTTGCAAAATGAAGTGTAGGACTGGCTGGTCTTCAAGGTCTTCCCCGCTCTGACATTCTGGGCTCCTATCTTCATTCCAAAACATGCCCACATCTCTTCACGGCCGGCCTGGTACCTGACTCCAACCCGTGCTCTCTGCTTCCGCAGGCAAGCTCCCAAGGGACTCTGCTGATTGGTCAGGCCCCAGAATTTTTGTCTCTATCCTGGACTCCAGCACCCTTGAAGAAGCAACTAACAATTTCACTTTCCAGGGAGCCCCACAGGCTCCCTACTCTGCCCAGCACGTGAGTAGAGTGAGAAGGACCATGGAGCTAGTTATGTATTGTGTGACTGGGTGCCCAACCTTGTGTTTGATGCCACGGGAGATAGAAGGAGGAAGTAGAGGTGACGGTAGTGGTGGCACGGCGTGGGTGGTGGCAGTGGCGGTGGCGGCAGTGGAGGAGGAGGAGGAGGTGGAGGAGGACGAAGGAGAGGAGGAGGAGAGGAGCAGGAGGAAAAGCAGGAGGAGGAGACGGAACTGGAGGAGCCAGGGAGGAGAAGGCAGCATCTCAGAATAACGGGCAAGGACAGGACTCTCCCAGCTTTGCCATTTCCTATTTGTGAGACTTTGGACAGGTGACTTGGTGCTTCCGAGCCTCCATTTCCCTATCAGTGTACTGACAGGGGACAATATTCTACTCCTATAGCATTGACAAGAGGACTAGCACAAGGCCTGCCACATAGCAGGCCTTTCAACAAATTAGAGGCTGTTATTCCACATGAAACAGATTGATGGGATAGAAGGTCCTGCTGAAAAGGGGAGCCATGATGGCGAGGGCCACAGAGGCCCAGGCGAGGGTCCAGAGGCCATTAGCGAAAGCTGCCTGGAGATAAACCAAGCTGGCCCTTCAAGTCCCGTGGGGATTGGGGAATATGGAGGTGAGAACCAGTCCCTGGACAGGGACGGTAATCACGCCTCTCCAGGTGCTTTGCAGGTTAAAACACAGACACCTGTGATTTCCCATAGACTTCACTGTTGCCCTGGGAGTTTTGAAAAAGCTGGCAGGAATTAGCGTCTCAGGAAAGATATGGAAAGAAGATATGAAAAGATATAGAAAAGAAAACAGGCCGAGCAGGGAAGGGACTTGCTCAAGCCACAATGACTAATGGCCAGCAGGCTTTCAGACTCCCACATCCAGATACTGCAAAATCCTGCCTCTCTCTGTCTACTGGCAGTATGTGTCTGCCAGAGGGCTTAATCCCCTGGCCTCTCCTTTCCTTGTTTCTAGACACTCAACTCTGATCCTCCAGGTCTGTGCCACCCTTGACTCCATTCTACCGCAACCACAGATCCTGGGAAAATGGTGGGGTCCAGAACCCTGGCAGGGGCTGAGCTTAGTGAATGGGAAGAGCAGAAGGCCTCGGGGTGGGTGGGGCCTTCACTGGAACTGGAGACTGGAGGGGCACTTGTTGCCTGTGGGTTCCCAACTCCCATTCTCTCACACCCTTTCCTTTTCAGGCACCCAAAGCTTCTGACCGGGACCTGGGTCCTGCCTCCTCAGAGTGGCAGCGGAAGCTGGAGGCGGCCGAGGCTCTGCTGACTCTCAGATACTCTTCCCAGGCCCCTTCTGGCTCCACCTCCCTGCTGCAGCCCTGTGCTGCACCAGGTAGCCTGGTCCTTGAAAGGAGAACACGGAGTGGGAATAGTTGGGAAATAGGAGGGCACTGTGATAAGCAGGACCTAACTGGGAAGTCAGGGTTAGTGGGTTGAACCTCCTTGGGCCCAGGCACCCAAGCTCCTCAGCCTGATGCCTGAGATGGCAGTTGACGGTTGTTCAGTGAATCATCAGTTCATCGAGCTTTGTGCTCGACAGCAAATGTTCAGCGCTGTGACGTCAGGAAACAAGGAACCTGAGGCCCTGAGAGCAGCAGGGACTTGCCCTAGAGCATGCAGCATATCAAGTGGAAGAACCAGGTCTCCTGACTCCCAGCCCAGAGCTTTCTATCCAGATCCCTGCAGTCTGCTGTGGTCTGGGGAGGACACACATGGGTGATAAGAACCTGGTCTGGAAGGAGATCTGGTCCCTACCTTCAGGGAGCTTCCAGTCTAGATGTGGAGCCTGGTTGCCTTCACAGGTCGTATCTTGCAGCTAAATCTCAACGATGAGCCTGGAGACGAAGGACGGCAAGAGGCCTGAGAAGAGATACATACCTGGGGAGGCTGAGAGGGAAGGCTGGGTGCTCCCAGGCCAAAACGGTGGGTGGGATACGGTGTGCGAGTGAAGCAGCAACCCTGGAGGAACTGCCGGAACGGAAAGGGATGAGGCTGGAGAGGCTACCAATCATGGAGATCTGGCATGCCAGGCTTAGGAGGCTAGGCCAGCAACTGTGGGTGGTGAGGGGCCAAAAAGCGTCTGAGCTAGGGAGGAGCACATTCGTAGACCCTGGGCTTGACAGAAAGAAATGTGGTGGCTGTGATGGAGGGATTGGAGGAGGCGAGGCTTGAGATGGGCAGATCAGTGAGGAAGAGTTCTGTGCAAGAGTCCAGGTGGCAAAATGTTAATTGGGGTGGAAGGAAAAGGAGGGGTGAGCCTGGAGGGGAAATGGGTGTGACCCGGCCCTGACCTCTTCCTTTCTGTCTACAGCTCCCGCTGGAGATCGAGGACTCCAGCCTCCTAGCCCCTCTCCCAGACCCAGGCTGGTCAGCTCCATTTCTCTGCCTATTGGACATCTGGGGTGCATCTCCCTCTTGAAGTAGAAGCCCAGAGGAGGAGGCCTCGCTAGAGTACTGCTTATTTATGCATTTGCAAAATGTTTAATGTCCAAAATGCTTAACATCTTTTCGTTAAACCTTCAGGTGCTTTTATAAGCTTTCAGACCCTTTTTATTACATGGGGCAATTCCTTGGCTGAGGGTGGGTATTCTTGTACCTCCATCCCTTACTCCCTTGGATCCTGGGGCCTTTTTGCGTCTCTTATAAAAACAGCGTTGTGCAATCTAAGCCGATCAGTCTCGAAATAGGGTTCTGCGTGAGTTCATACGTTCATATGCCAGGGTTTTTGTTTGACTCGTGATTGCGAACATACCAGCGCGCTCATGTACGTACCCACGCATGTGAAAATATGAGGGTGTTTTCATCTTGTGTCTAGCTTTGTGTGTGTGGGCAAATAATAAACCCTTGTTGTTGTAAGGCACTGAGATATAGGAGTTGTTTGTGACCACAGTATAACCTGGACTGTCCTGACTCTAACAGACTTGTTCAATTCACTTTTCAAAGTGAGACTCACGTTACTCAACAACTGGGATTTCTCAACATGTCTAGATAAGAAAATGGCAGAGAAAAAAGGGTAGGAGATTTATTCGCTCAGCAAGTAAGTGCCTACCCTCTGCCTGGCACAGACTGTTTCCAGTTGCCCAGAGGGCCACACACTGAAGTGTCTGCAGGATGAAGCAGATCGTATAAATGAGCAGAGCAGGCCAGACGGGCTCCAGCCAACTGACAGTGCATGCTCTACCTAAGGGGGCAGCTGCCACTTGGCTCTAGCCAATTGTGGTCATGCAGGAATGTGGACTCATTGTTGCCACATCTCCTGATTTTTCAAGAGAGGGTGGAATTCTAGATTTCTATGTAAAACATCTCAGTTTTAAAATGTTGACTCTGGTTTCCTCTTTAAGCTCTATACGTGGGCCAAGCAAAACATCCATGCAGGCCAACTTTGGCCAACAGAATGCCAGTTTGATTCTGGTCCAATGTGTATTTTACAGTGGGGGAAACTGAAGCCAATCAGCACAAGAAGAATCAAAGAGGGAAGATGAATTAGACCCAGAGCTTACCTTTGAAGGACCCACAAAACATGAGGAAGAATCATTACCATTTACTTATTCCGTGCCCACCGTATGCTAAGCGTGTGTAGCCTCACAGCAGCTCTGTAAGCCAAGCATTATTACCACCCTTTTGCCTATGAGGAAACGGTGCTCAAAGAGTAAAAGTAACTTGCACAAGTCTTTGAGGGGAAATTTTTAGCCGAAGATGGGGAGAGGCTCCCTTCTCTTTGCCAGGCCTAAATTAGCTAGTAATTTGCTTTTTTTGTAAAGCATTGAAAGAAAGCTTCAAAACTTGAAGCGGCAGACATCCAGTCAGAGGGGTCTCTCAGAAATGGTCCCTTCGTTTCATACTCAGGGTAACAACGTCTGGTAATCTATCAGATCTTACCTGCACTTGTCTCTCAGTCCTCTGCTGATGTTCCAAACAAACGAAGACCTGGAGACCCCGCCAGGAGGACAGAAAACTCAACTGGACATGCCCAGTCACTGACTCTTTCCCATCATGTTTCCTCCCTCCTTCCTTCCCTCCCTCTGTTTTCACCCAAGATGATTGATGGTGATGACATCCGATTACGACTTATTCTTTCTTGCTTGAGGCCTTGAGACGGCAGGCTTCTTATATCCTTTATCTGATGCCAGACACACAAACATGCAAAATCACTCAGCACATAGAGGAAGACTGACATCCATCTCATGCCTGCCTTCCTTCCCTGACTTGTTACTTAAATCAGTGATCCCTAAACCCCTCCTCTCCCGGTATCAGATGAACAAGTCCACATATTCACGGAGGAAGGAAGCAGTGTTATCTGGAAAAGGACTAAAGCCCTGCTGCGCAATTGTGTCCTAGGCATGCCACGGCTCCAGAGCTGAGGCGGTAAAAGAGAAAGTGTATTTTGGGTTAAAGGACGCGGCTTGAGAAGAGGGAGGAGAAGAGAAATAAAGTGATGGAGATTGGAAGAAGGAGTGAGCCTCTTTTCCCTGTGTCCTTTCATTTTTTCGAGTCTCACCTGCCGTTCCATGCAGGGCTTTTTAGACTGACGTGTGTGTGTGTGTGTGTGGGCGTTGCACCATACCTTTTCAAAAAGTCTCTTCATGGCGTATTATGGGCATCTTAGGACATCGTCGTAAGTGTTAAATATCAAATCTTTTTTGGGAACTATCCTTTTTCACGTACTACTCCAGTTCACAGATTTAAAACATCACTTTATAAAACAGTGTGAGTTAGGTCTTGGCTCTCCTGTGTTATACAACAACATTGGTTGGACCTGAGGATATCCACCACATCAGAGCGCCTGGAGAGTGGATCAGTTCCAACCAGTCGTATGTAGGTAAATGTTCAGCAACAGGCTCTCTGGGAGAGGGAGGGAAGTTAGGGGAAATGCCCAGTGTTGTAGCATTTTCTGGTTTCAAGCTGCCAGTACGATGTCAATTAATGCAGAGTTGGGAAGAGATGCATTTCTACCATTCAGATACAATAAATGTACATAACCTCAAGAGCACGGGTAATAGTAAAATGTAGGAAAATAACCAGAGATTGGTGAGGTTAGAGTATGTATTATGTTTGTTTTTGATATCATGTATGTAATGTAATTGTTGCTTTGCACAATTTAATTTTTAACAACAGCTGCGTTTAAGAGCCGGCTCGCAAAAATTTCTGAAAATTTAACAGTCAGCTCTTGTGTTCCAGTAAGAGTCCCCTCCAGCACTCCACTGCTTTGGACTCTTGCCCAGAAAGGCGCCTCTTCCAAAGCAGGTCACATTAACGCTGCAGAGCCGTAAAGGGCTGCTACCACTGGTTTCTGACCAAGAACAGCCTGAAGTGTGGGGAAAGTATTTATTAATAAAGAAATGGAATGATCTGGAACAAGTATTGAGCAGAATAAACTGTCAAAAGCCTTTATGGGCGAACGCGCATTCTCGGAGGTGACCAGCGTTGGGTAAAGGTGAGAAGTAGGGACGACAGACAATAAACAAAACTCATGCAGGGCTGTGTTCAACAGATTTCTCAAAGGCCAAATGAATGGGGCAACTGGCGTTGCTGGATCTGTATCTCTCCTCAGAGAGACAGACATTCATTACACTCCCTCATCCTTCTTAGATAAATGCTGCATGATCTACATAAACTTCTCCACCTTGCCTTTTTTCACTTAAAAATATATCCTTCGTTGTTAAGTATAGGCACTATGTTATACAGCAGATGTCTAGAACATAGTCATTTTGTATAATTGTAGCTTTATGCCCATCAAACAACAACTCTCCGTATACCCCTCCCCCCACCCTTTGGCAACCACCGTTCTATTGTCTGTTTCTGCAAGTTTGACTATTTTAGATGCTTCATATAAGAGGTATTGCGCACTTAAAAATTTGTTAAGAGGGTGAATCTCATGTTAAGTTTTCTCATCACAAGAAAGCGAAAACAAAACAAAATAAAAAAGGGACACAAGGAGACTTTCGAGGGTGATGGATATGTTTATTACCGTGATTGTGGGGGTGGTGACACAGGTGTACGCATGTGTCCAAACTCACCAAATTGTACACATTAATACGTGCAGTTCTTTGTATACAAATTATACCTCAATAAAGCTGAAAGAACAGTATCTTTGAGATCACTCCACGTTGCGGTGTAGAGACCTCTCTCACTCCTTCCAACAGCTACAGAGTACGCCATCGTGTGGACGTTCCATAATTTAGTCAACTCATCTGCTATTTAAAAAAATTTTTTTTCAATTATTTCATTGAGATCATAATGGTTTATAACATCGTGTAATTTCAAGTGTACATTATTATTTATCGGTTTCTGTATAGACTGCATCGTGCTCACCACCAGTAGTCTAATTTTTATCCGTCACCATACACATGTGTCCCTTTACCTCTTTCGCCCACCCCCCAGCTCCCTTCCCCTCCGGTAACTACTAATCTGTTCTCTTTATCCATGTGTTTGTTTATCTTCCACATGTGAGGGAAATCAGGCAGTATTTGTCTTTCTCTGTCTGGCTTATTTCACTTAACATCACACCCTCAAGCTCCATCCATGTTGTTGCAGAAGGGACGATTTTGTCTTTTTTATTGCTGAGTAGTATTCCATTGTGTGTGAGTATAGATGTATATATTATATATACACAATATATGTACATAAATGTGTCTGTCTGTCTATCTATCTATCTATCTCCTTTCAACCGTCTTCTTTATCCATTCAACCACAGAAGGGCACTTGGGTTGCTTCCACGTCTTGGCTATTGTGAATAATGCTGCGATGAACATAGGGGTGCATAAATCTCTCTGGATTGGTGATTCCAAGTTCTTTGGGTAAATACCCAGTAGTGAGATAGCTGGATCGTATGATATTTCTGTTTTTGGTTTGTTGGGAAATCTCCATAGTGTTTTCTATAGTGGCTGGGCCAGTTTGCATTCCTACCAGCAGTGTATGAAGGTTCCCTTTTCTCCACAGCCTCTCCAACATTTCTTATTTTTGTCCTGGTAATTATAGCCATTCTGACAGGTGTAAGGTGATATCTCATTGTAGTTTTGATTTGCATTTCCCTAATAATTAGTGATGTTGAACATCTTTTCATGTGTCTGTTGGCCATCTGCACGTCTTCTTCGGAGAAATGTCTGTTCACATCCTCTGCTCATTTTTGGATCGGGTTGTTTGTTTTTCTGTTGCTGAGTTGTATGAGTCCTTTATATACTTTGGAATTTAACCCCTTGTCTGATTGATGATTCACAAATATTTTCTCCCAGTTGGTGGGTTGTCTTTTCATTTTGCTCATGGTATCCTTTGCCTCGTAGAAGCTCTTTAGTCTGATGTAGTCCCACTTATTTTTTCTTTTGTTTCCCTCGCCTGAGTAGACATGGTATTCGAAAAGATGCTGCTAAGCCTGATGTCAAAGAGTGTACTGCCTGTATTTTCTTCTAGGAGTTTTATGGTTTCAGGTCTTACATTCAGGTCTTTAATCCATTTTGAGTTAATTTTTGTGTATGGTGCAAGATAATGGTCTACTTTCATTCTTTTGCAAGCGGCAGTCCAGTTTTCCCGATACCCTTTATTGAAGACACTCTCCTTTCTCCATTGTATGTTCTTGGCTCCTTCCTCGCAGGTTAACTGCCCCTAGATGCATGGTTTTACTTCTGGGCTTTCAACTCTGTTCCGTTGATCTATGTGTCTGTTTTTGTGCCAGAACCACGCTGTTTTGATTACTATAGCTTTGTAGTATATTTTGAAGTCAGGGACTGTGACGCCTCCAGCTTTGTTCTTTTTTCTCAGGATTCCTTTGGCTATTCGAGGTCTTTTGTTGCTCCATACAAATTTTAGGATTCTCTGTTCTGTTTCCGTGGAGAATGTCATTGGGATTCTGACTGGGATTGCATTGAATCTGTAGATTGCTTTAGGTAATGTGAACATCTTAACTATGTTTAGTCTTCCAATCCATGAGTATGGAATATCTCTCCATTTCTTTATGTATCTTTTTCAGTTTCTTTCAACAACGTCTTATAGTTTTCAGTGTATGGGTCTTTCACCTC